ACAACACATTTAAGACACATGCAGTGAAAACAGACCCGTTTGAAAGCTATGGTATTATAAGAACAGATTTGAAACATTGTGCTTCTTTGACTTTTTTCCCCATCAAAATTGGAATTTACATTTGTTTACCAATCAATGAATATTTTTGTGTTGGCTGCAAAGGTTAAAGTAATTGTCAGGTCAGTTGTTTGTAAAATGTAAAAGTCATATTTTCCCTCATTTCTGTATGTCAATGTACCTCTCTTTCTTTTGTCTCCAAGATGTCACACCTGTAACACAACAGATAGGAACGCCATCTGTGTAAACTGCATCAAGAAATGCCACCAAGGGCACGATGTAGAGTTTATACGGCACGATCGGTGAGACTTTCTTGGTATTAACACAAATAAAGGGAGAAAATTTAGGAACTATTCAATCGTAAAGAAAAGACTGAAAATGCTGTTGCTCTGTCTCAAAATAGCTTCTTACAATAAAAAGAAAAACCACACTCTTAACTTATTTAAAATAACTCTTATTCACTTGCTCTGATATTTCATCCCTTCAGGTTTTTCTGTGACTGCGGAGCAGGGACGTTGTCCAACCCGTGCACGCTGGCCGGAGAGCCCACACACGACACGGACACTCTGTATGACTCGGCACCTCCCATCGAGTCCAACACGCTTCAACATAACTGAAAGCGTCTGGTCTAGTTACACCCTCTCACTTAAGCATATAAACACATTACATTGCACACAGCTATACACACACACACAGTAACACACACCCACACACACGTCCACGTGCAGCCATAAGGACCCAGAGAGACTCTGTAACTGCAGTGCTCTCAGACGGGCTCGAGGTGAGATTGGCTGCAGAGGAAGCAGCTTCCTGTCGCTGCAGTCAAACATGCTGCAGTGTGGGCAGACACCACTAGGGGAAGCTGTGGAGCTGAGAGTAGGCGGACAGAAAGGCCACAAGAGATTCCTCGCTCGAGTATTTCTTATTGCAGTCTGAAGACAAAGAAGATGGAAGATGAGGGCTGATGATGGATGCGTATAAAGTTCCCCCTGTGTTACTCCCTGGCCCACTTCTTTTTCTTCTTCTTCTTCACATGAACTGCTGTCAAAGAGACTTCCTGCTTCCTCGCAGCTGCCATCCCCATTGGCTTCCCAGGCAGTTGTAACTAGGCAACAGATGGGCGGATGTTGCTCTGTCATGTGTGGATAAAAAGCAAGATTGTGTGTGTGATGGAGCACTTGGGCTTTTTTTAAAAAAAATATATGTTCAGATCAATGGATTTTATTTCAATGCTTTCTCATGTAGTTTTGTATTTTCAAGCAAAAAGCTGACTGTATTTGAATGTCTTTTATTTTATTATATATTATTATTATAATTATTATTATTTTTCTTTGGTTAGCGTCCCCCCTCCCACCCGACACTCATCAGACTGCAGAGACTCCAGACGTCCAGTGATGAAGTTCTTTCTGTGAAAGAGAATCTCGTTTAAACACTAAAAACCCTCTCCAGTATATTAGCTTAAACGGCAGGTGGAGGGGCTCCACAGTTGTATAAAGGTGTGTATGCGAGTGTGTAAATGTGTGTTGTGTACAGTGGAAGTTGTGTGTATGTGTGTATATGTTTATGATTTGATGCAGTCAGTGTTTTGTGGAGAGGGTTTCAATAGGAGGCGCCAGAGCTCCTTTGAACTGGAACTAAAGAGTCGATCTGCAGCCCCCTCCCCTCCCTCGTCTTCCCCCTCCCTCCCCCCGTGTATCGTGGTGACTGTGGCTCCTCATGCAGCCTGAATCGTATGCATGTACCATAACATCTAGACTTAATATATTGTGAAGTATTCAATAACCATTATGTAGATGCTAGTTGGAATTCAAAAAGGGGTATACTTTCTTAGAAAGAAAAAAAAAAAGAAAACAGGAAACTGGCCATTTCTAAGAAAATAAAACTTTATTAGATCAAATGTGTCTGTCTTTAAATTCACAACCAGAACTGATAATGTTTCTGTTTTCTGTTTGATTAAATCCATATGTTGTTAAAGAACTCATGGAGGTGGTATGTGGAAAATAACTGCAGAGAAAAGTTATTTACAGAAAAAGTTTTTCAGATATTTGAACAGTACTTAAAAAAGCTGGCGATTATTGTGTTGAGTTTTTAAGTTTTGTGACAGTGAACTTTGTCAAACAGGGATATTGCTGTGTTATTTATTTGTGATGAAACATCCGGGGTGTTTTCAAACATGTTAAGTATACGCACAAGTATCAGACTCTAAATGGTTCAAAGATCTGACTCATACACTCAGTAGCAAAGTTAGCAACAGTCTGCAACCTACTTTTTAAATGTTCATGTTATTTCAGACTCCTAAAGCCCACTGAAGTTTGTTTATTCTAACCAAAGGTATTCAGTTAATTATTGAAAACTGTTTGGAAGCTAAATACAAAACTACATAGTTTAAAAAAAAGGATCAGTCTTTCAAAGGCAGATTAATTTCTTCAATCAATTTGCTGTCAACTTCATCATCCTTTATATTTAAAATAATTCACCGTTGTACTTGTTGACAAAGATTTCATGAAGATGTGGTTACGTCTACATAAAATGCAACCAATACAATACATTCACAGCTGTGGAAAAAATTAAGAAACAACTGTAAAAAAAAAAAAAGTTTCGCTGTTAACATTTCTCCCAATTTTCAAATATAATATTCTCATTTGCAGGAAATGACCAATTGTTAAGGTAAGATGCAGCATATTTCAGAACACTAGCTCATATTCATTTTAAGCAGAATACCAAAGTTTTCATTGAGAATGAGTTCAGAAATCAATACTTCAAGAAATAACTGACTTAACTACAGCCTTCTCCATCCTATACTCTCTACCAGTGTGTCACTGCTGTTAGGTAATGATGACACTCGTGCATATATTCCAGCAGTTCATAACTCAGGGTGAGACAAGAATCCTTCCATGTAGGTGGAAATGCTGATTTATGTAGATTAGGGGTAGTCTGCATTTCCTCTGAAGCTGTAGGACTTCTTGTTGACTTGTAGCCCTGATGCGTTACATCAATTATTTCTACAACTGAGATCATAAAGCAGTCTTGAATATTAGAATGTGCAGAACGAACTGTAGATAAAACAGTGTCTGTGAAAATTAAATATAATTTAGCATAAAAATGTGGAATGTGGAAAAAGAATTACAACAGTACAAGAAGGAAAACCAAAGATCTGCCTTCACAATAAAAGTAGAAATAGTTTACTGAAAAGATCAGCTGGAACAGCTGTTAAGATAACAGTATTTATGCATAACAGCCTCACTGTCACCTGATTTACTGGAAAACTACAAATTGAAGTGTAGAAGTTCTTAGAAGCAGCCACAACTCAGCTGATAAGTGATACAGAAGATTAATGTAATTATAATCACAGACAAAAACACTCAGCAGATGAGGGAAAAAAATCTTTATTTGAAAACTATACAATAAGAGCGTTAGTGTAACTACAGTAGGTTAACTTGTATGGGATCTACAGATCAAGCCGTTTTAGCCGGAGCGCAGCGTGCGAGGAGGTCTGTGATGTACGAGTTCTTTTTGGCCATGAGCTCCTCTTTCATCCTCCTCAGCGCAGCCTTCACCTCCGCCTCGCTCATGGTGGCAGCAGGAAGTGACTTCACCTTCTCCAGGAAGTCTTGGATCAGGTTTTCGCCCACCTGAAGGATAGAGTATAAATTTTAAATAAATTACAGATGATGTCATTATTGCATCACTAAAGAAGCAGGGTGGGATTCTCTGGCAACGTCACCAACTACCGAGGTGCATAAGATGGAGAAGATTAAAAATAAACTGGTATTAAAAGTGCAGCTGAGCACAATTTTACAGTAATCAAGCACGGACTAGAAAGCTTCTCCAATGTTTGTTCTGGTTTGTAGTGTATGTATGATAGTAGAGTTAAATATCACTAAACTACATTAACCACTTACAGAAGAGCTGCTTCTCAGATTAGTTTTGGGGTTAAGAGAAGTGCTTCTTCCATTCATTGCATGTAGATTTAAGATAACGATCTCGTGTTACACTTTCTGTGAGATGGTTTCTGAAAAGCAGAAAGCATGAGCATGAAAACTGAGGCCTACTTGTTTCTCTGAGCGTCGTCTCTTTGCCTCGGGCTCTCCGTCTCGCTCTGACTTCTCTCCAGCCGGATCCTGGAACTCTTCCAGCTCCTCCGCCTTCTCCTTTGCCATTGCAACCACTGACGGCGGGAAGCAGGCCAGCTCGGCGACATGGATACCAAAACTCTGATCACACACACCTGAGGGCACATTGAAGGAAAAGATTTGTCAGGAGACTTAATGGCAGACACTGAATCTAATTATTACATACAATAAAGAACATCAAGGTAAGTTTAATGATTTCAAAGAGCATCGTCACTTTGCGTAATCAACCACTGAAGAAACGTTTACTAAATAAACCAAAAGCTCTTAAATGTAGCACACTCACTTTAAATAAACAAAGCTGTATTTAAATGTTGATGTGTGTGTGCTGACCTGGTTTGATTCTGTACAGCATGGTGAGCGTGTTGTGCGTCGTCAGCGCTGTGACATGCAGGTTGTGGACAGACGATTGCTGAGCTGCGAGCGCCGTCAGCTCGTGGAAGTGAGTAGCGAACAGACAGAAGCTGCCGATGTTGGAGGCGATGTGTTCGCTGATGGCCCAGGCCAAACCGAAGCCGTCGTAAGTGGACGTTCCTCTGCCGAGCTCGTCGATTATGATGAGCGAGTTCTCCGTGGCCGAGCTGAGGGACGGGCACACGCCATGAGAAACGGCACGTCTTTCTTTAAAAAGAAGCCGTGAAGTTATTTCGTCTGTTCTTACCGTAGAATGGCCGCAGTCTCCAGCATCTCGGACATGAAGGTAGACACTCCTTTCACCTGGCTGTCACCCGCTCCAACCCGGGCCAGGATGCTGTCAATCACACTAAGCTCCGCCTTCTCACATGGCACAAAGCAGCCGATCTGAGCCATCAAAGCGATCACTCCCACCTGCCGGATAAATGTGGATTTACCGCCCATGTTTGGTCCTGCAGAGGGGAGGAAGAGTTGTATTAAAGTGTGTTCAGGCAGAATGTACACATTTACCTTCTGAAGGTGGAACTCGGTTTACTTCCACTGTGTCTTAGTTCAAACATATTTTTCGACTTTTGATGTAATTTAACATCATGTGACCCTGTAGGTCTGTACGCCTTTTTATTTACAAAGAAGGACCTACTCTCAAAAATCATTATAATAACCAACTCTTACACAACATCTGAAGATCCAAAAGGTTGAACAATCAGACCATTAGTTCATCTCAAACCGATTCATGAGCTACTCTTTCAAATATTTACACATAAAAAACAACTTCACCAAAGGATTCATTTTTTCAATATTGAGAAAATAAGGTTTTTTTTTTTGCTTTATTTGACAGGACAGCTGTAGAGATATACATTAAAGTCTCGAGGCTGAGGGTTACACCTGTATTGAGGAGTGTAGCCTCTTGTTGGCACCTGCTCTAAAGACTAAACTGGCGCCCTCAATTCTGTTCTACTTTGTCTCTTTACTGATTTCACTCTGGTAGCTCTCAGCCTCATTTCTGGTCGCAGCTGGTCTTTCTTAAAAATCAACCAAAAAGAAGAAAAACATTGGAATTTAAGATTAAACTAATGACTCATCATAATTCTCTGAGGAATTGTTCCAAAGGATAAATTTAAATCAGAGCCTTGTCAGAGTGTTAATGGACTTTAGGTGCATTCTGAAGGTCTCGATGGGCTTGATGCATCCATGGAATAATAACGTGTGCAGGTTTAAACAAGTCAGGAGGCGGACAACTTTAATGTATTTTAAAAATAATAAAGCTTAAGAAGACATGTCCACCTCTTTCTCTCAACATTGACACCTGCAGGACAAAGAAATAACTCTGAACAAGTTGGAGCAGCTGCAGAATATGAAGAGCAGGCCTTATTTTTGTGCACGTTCTTGTTTCCTGGATTGATGGTTTAAAAATAAGCCTAGAAAAAAAAAAACCTTATTTCTTCATTCAACTTTTGTATTTTGACCATCATATTAAAAGTGACTGCTTTAAAACTGCTGGGATTTTCCCGTCACTATCATTCACCTGTTATAATATAGAAGCTCTTCTCCCCCTGGGTGAAGGTGATGTCGTTGGGTATGAAGGCGGTGTCTGCGTCCGTCTCCATGCAGGGGTGTCTCGCCTGTTTCAGCTCCATGCGTCTGATGCCGCCAGACAGCAGGCGGGGTCGA